ATCACCAAAGACATGGAAAGAAAAGTTTGCTTTCTTTTCTTGGAATCCTGAAGGGGGCAGCTAATATGAAAACAAAGCTCACCTACATTGAGAACATAAGCACATGCAGGATCAGAGCAGGGAAAGCTCCTATTGCACCACTGTTTTTGTTGTTGTTAGGAGCGATCATGTACAGGGGCTAGAAACGTAACAAACGTATGCACGCACACTAATGCGCGCCATAACAAATGCATTCATATTTGTTTATGTAAAAGCATTATAATGAGACCAAGTGGCTATGATAAATACACATGTGCAATTATTTTCTTTTTATGACTGCAACCAATTTGCTTTTACAACTTGAAAATATTTTACCATTCCAAATATTATAGTGTAACTATAAAGTTATGAAAAAAATAATCTACTTTCATAACACAATTCATATAAAAAAATGTCTATTTTTGTTTTTAACAAAGTGATTCTGTTGCAGATTTTTTTTGGGTTAAACCAATGTAGTTGGGATAATAATAATAGTAAAACAAGATTATTGCAAAGAAAATTAAAGCAGTCATTTTCATTTCAGCAGCATAACTGTATTACTTGCAATTTATTCCCCATGTGAGCATTAAATTCTGCTATTAAACATCCTGCGCCGTGTCCTGAACATGGAAAAGCAATATCTCTATTGTAGTTACATTGTATCTCATTTGGTATGTATAAGGTGAAGGGATCCAGAAGTCAAAACACAGAGAGATTGGAGAAAGCTTGATTAATCTGTGCACTGAAAAGAAGATTAAATACAGGGGAATCTGTGACTTAAGCAACACAAGTAGTTTTAGCGTCCTATTAACCCTTCACAGCCCTGGCTGACCGACTGGGAGCTGAATGTGGGCACCCATTGATGTGTTCCGTTGCTGAGTGTTTGGTTTATTCCGTGAGTGTTCATCCTGTTGTGATTCAGTTCATTTAATATAAATTGGTGAAAATTGGAGCTGTATTTATACACATACATATGCACGCTACGCTTTCAGCTGACCTCACAGGAAAAGTCACCCCCATAGTCCTTTTTTTTTCATACTGTAGATGACCTTAATCAGCTTACTCCAATGTTGGTGCCCACCTCGGGACAGAGCTAGGTCAATGGACTTTTAGTGAAAACTATATGGCTTATATCAGGCTTATGCAGCTGATTTTCTTGCATTAGGTATTCAGTAAGGCTGTTGACTGCACTTTCTACTATACAGATAACCTACAGATGTGCTTAGGAAATTGATGCCATTGATGTAGGAGAAGGGAAGGTTTACATTGTACCTCCAGTTTACCAGTATGTCAATGGACCTGCTCAATGAACTGGTAAAAAGAGTCAGCCATTTTAGGAAAGCCTGCACTCGGGAAATAAAGAGGTACAATAACTGCCTATAAGGGAAGCAACACATGTAATCCCAGGGCATGGGATGACTACTGAGCTAATAGGGGGGCCTTTGTATCCCTTAACTAGATTTACTAAACATCACAAGGATTGTGCACATCTAAAACTGCCACCAGTGTGTATTTGTGGACATATTCATTACCAATCAATAAAAATATAACCCAGCAACAAGTTAAAATCATACCAATAGATACTTTAATGTATCTTACAATATAAATTCAAATTAATTAAAGAATGCAGAACAACACTGGTCCCCAAAATATCGGTCTGAGGAACTCTGCCATTGTGAAAGAGCAAAGCCACAAAGCTAAGAGCTGGAATGTTACCAGTAAATCTTCTTGGTATTTAATATTGAGAATGCATCTAATGAAATCTTGGGGAGCTTGTATATCTCTGGAGATCAGGTGGGCTGACTAGTCGAACACGTTTTTTCCACAGCTGGAATCCTAGGTGCTAGGGAATCCGAGGATTTAAAGTTTGTTTCCTATTGAAGGGCAAGCTGCTAGGAATCACAATTCCCCCATAGCTAGAGGACTTGTTGCTACACTATGATTTGGGCAGGTTTGATGGGCAGGTATTTCACCAAGGCAATATCAAGTAAGCTATCTTACATACACATGCACAATCACACAGACACAAAAAGGTTGAACTAGATGGACCTGTGTCTTTATTCAACCTCAAATACTATGTAACTATGTAACTATCTGCCCTTCTATTCTTTCACAGCTGGAGTTTGAGAATGGACAATCTTCTTCACCAACATGTACATGCTGGGCATATATGGTAACACCTCCATTCCCTACTCAACATAGAAAAGGGCCACCATCTTCTATTGGCTTCAGCTCACACCGTCGTTTTCCTATGTGTTGGAAAATCTGTGTTAGCAAAACCAACACGTCTGATGTTCAGAAATTATTGTCATTGCTGTCTAGTGAAGCCACTATACAGCTCAACAGTAGCCTTGTCATTGGCAGTGATGGCTGAATTGATTCCATCACTTGTGATTATAGGATCTTGCATGATCACCATTTACTAGGACATTACATCTAAAAGAACTAGCTGCTAAAGCTTAGCCAGATGACAGACTTCCATGACTTGTAGCTCTTCCACAGATGAAGAACAAGTTCCCAATATATAATGGAACGTGTAGTTCCACCTCTATTAAAGAACACACTTCCAAGATATGCAGGGACTTATTACTCCTCTGCATTTGGAAAAAAGCTACCAGGGTGTGCAGGGACATGTGGTTACTTCGAAGCTGGAGGACTGGCTCACAGCGTATGCTGGTTAATTAAGTTCTTCATAAGCTGGAGGACCGGCTCTAAGGGTATATTTTGATCTAGATTTCTTCTGCCTTTGGAAGCCAGGTTCTCATCTCTGCACAGCTGGAAAAAAGGGCTTCATAGTTACACAGTAGTGATCCCATTGGTGGGGGCAAGGCCCCCATGTTGTGCTGGGATTTTTAGCTGCTCCACAGGTGGAGATACAGCTTGGTTAGTATACTGTGACAAGCACCTGTTTTAATGATGGAGAATAGTTGAACAGGTTATTCTGGGATTTGTACCTCCTCCACAGCTAGAGAAGACCTTCTTAGGATATCTTGGGATATGGGGTTTATTTCCAGATATAGAATGGCTCCCGAGGTATCCTAGGACTTCTTGTTTCTCCACAAATGGAGGAACCTAGGATGCATCACCCTAAAAATGAGTAATATGAAGTATCTAATCACAGTTACTACTTGTCATTTTGGACGTCTGTTAAAGACCTTGGTAGCAAGACCTCTAAAATGCATACAAAAGCCACGACTGATGACTGCCTATCTGGACACACTGGTACTGCAGCAGTAACACTTTTCAGTTAGACAAAACTCCTCAGCACTTCTCTGCTAGGTATCTCCCACACACAAGCTAATATTAGAAAGTATCCCATATTGGAAAAAAAAATCAACATAGAAACAGGAGTTAGTTATTGTGTAACTCAGACTTTAGATACAACTAGATAAGAGCTGGAAATGAGGAATGATATAAAGCAACTAGGGGAATAATATTAGAATGGAGGAAAACATCAATGTATCACACAGTCAGTAGGACAAAGGGCCTGCCTATTTAAAAGTGATATTTCACCTACATGACTACTCTTTAATCACTTACTAGCTTCTAATATACCCTGGACACTTAATTGGCAAGATCAAAATAGTTCAGGCCCATCTCCTCTAGGATCATTATGGATGGAGTTTCATTCACACTGTTGTATTTTTCATTTATATTCGATTATGTAGAACGCACAGGTGAGTGTCAGCCTACTGCAACGGGATGACTGAGACTCCATGTCTAGGGTAGGGGTTGGAGGAGTGAGCAGATCCAGGAACTCATATTAATTCCTACTGCTGCAGTCCTCAAGTAAGAAGTACACATACAGTATTTTGAGTAGTCTTATCTTTAAAATATTGTGAAGAACATAGGAAATTATATATAGAAATACATAGTAAGACACCACAGGTATTCAGCTCTTGTGGAAATAGAAGTCGGAACGTCCACTGCCAGTCTGGGACTGACAATACGAGCTGCTACTTTGGTTTCTACAACAGCTGGAGACCTAGAGGTTGACTAATCCAGTAAAACTAACCTTTCTAATAGGCTTAGGTTGCAAGCCAGCTAGTGGAACCAAAGAAGCATCACACTATGAACATGCTGGGATTTGTACTCCCACAGCAGTTAAGAGACATACAAGGTACCCAGGAGGCTGCATTTTTATTTTAGCATTAACAACAGGGGCAGATAGGAAGGCAGCCAAAATTGGCACTTTACAAGTGTGCCCTGTTAGATGATACACTGTTTATGCTGGTGCTTTTAGTTCCACAACAGCTGCCAGAAGATCTCTGAAACACACTCGTCTCTCAGCAAACATTGAAGCTTATGTTGAGGCAAAGTTAAGAGTAATGATAATGTGCAATGAGCAGTAACCCAAAGCAACTAACAACATTTCCGTTTAGCACACTCCAGTGAACGTTGGATTCTGATTACTTAAATATGCTCAGTTTTCTCACATTCAATTTCAATGTGCCCATCTGAGATATACATTAAGCCAGACAGAGGCAACCTGCAGCAGGAATACAAGTACCAGCATGCCCTAACCATCAAAGATTACTGTAAAACAACGAAAACCAAAGAGCTACATTTTTTTCTGAGAACATGAAGTAATACATAAAATTATGCATCAACCTATAGGGGTCAAGGGTCAGAGATGTCAGGTGCTTGCAGAGTTGGCAGCATACCTTCAAGGCAGCAGGTTCTCCATAATCCTGAGTGAGTCATCACCTCTTCGTTCTTCTTGCTGGTTTCATTGTCATTATTGGACTTAGCCTTGCAGACCCCTCTAGAATAAAGCCAGTAATCCGTGCCCACCGCGATGGTCATCAGGCTGAAAGCTGCGAAGGCCCCCACTGTGGTGATGAGCATCTGAACACCTCTGTCACACATCCTCATACTTGGTCATGATAGTTGGGCCTCTTTTTTTTTTAGACTGGTAACTGAGCAAGTGGCAATCTGCTGGGAGACTTTAAACAGATTCTACAGGAATACAATGGAAAAGTATTAACCTAGGATGTTTCTGTATCAGATCAAGATGGTGTTTTGGTAGACATGTAGATTCTCCAAAATTGTATCCTGAATCAAACTTTCCGTGACCTTGACAACGTCTGCCTAATTTCCCTGGCTAGTCCTTGAAAGTCTTGTATAACCAGACCAAATATGAATGATTCCAAAATGCTACACTTTCTAATGAGCCAATAAAAGTAATCAAACTTTAAATTCCTTGCGTGGTTAGCATTAAAAGTAAATGCCTCATTGCTGCTTGCCCATATCCTGCTTGTCTTCTCCCCACTGGGAGAGAGACCATAAATGGGGTCCTAAAGGAGCAGCTCATATCCAGGGACTGAGCTCAGCTAAACATCCAGTGTTGCTCTGAAGGGTCAGCTCCTGTTCTCAGCTGAGAATCTGGCGTGGTACAGCCCCCAACCAGTCTATGAGACTTCCTAACGACCCAACGTGGTGCTGATCGGCCAGCTACTCCTCTGCATCTGAGACCAGCTGAAGCACAAAACGTGGTGCTGAAGGAACAGCTCCGTATCAGGGTCTGAGAACAAAGCAAGGTCCCGGAGTGGTGCTGATGGGACAGCTCCTGGGAATCAGACGGAGACCTGGAGCAATACTGGAAGGAAAGCTCTTACAGATCCCAGGAATCAGACTAGGACTCCGAGTGGTGCTGAAGGGACAGCTCCTTCCCAGATTCTGTGGATTAGACCAGGACCCGGACTAATGCTGGCAGACAGTTCATTCACGGGTTCTAGAAATGATTTGAGAACCAGGAGTGTGGAAGCAACAGCTCCTTTAAAGCCCCTGAAAATTAGATGAGGACCAACAGTGGTGTTGAAGGAACAGTTCCTGCACAACCCCCAAAAATTAGGCGAGGACCAGGAGTGGTGTTTAGGGGACAGTTCCTGCAAAGCCCCCGAAAATTAGGTGAATACCAGGAGTGGTGTTGAAGGGACAGTTCCTGCACAGCCCACCGATAATTAGGAGAGGACCAGGAGAGGTGTTGAAGGGACAGTTCCTGCACAGCCCCCGATAATTAGGAGAGGACCAGGAGTGGTGTTGAAGGGACAGTTCCTGCACAGCCGCCGATAATTAGGAGAGGACCAGGAGTGGTGTTGAAGGGACAGTTCCTGCACAGCCGCCGATAATAAGATGAATAGGAATGGTGCTGAAGGGACAGTTCCTGCAAAGCCCCCCAATAATTAGGAGAGGACCAGGAGTGGTGTTGAATGGACAGTTCCTGCACAGCCCCCGATAATTAAGGAGAAGACCAGGAGTGGTGTTGAAGGGACAGTACCTGCACAGCCCCCGAAAATTAGGTTAATACCTGGAATGGTGCTGAAGGGACAACCTCTGTGCTCCAGAGAGTGAACGCTGCTACCCTCCACAGAGTGTTACAAGTGTACAGAGGATGAGCGTTTGATTGCAAGGTCTACACCAACATTTTCTGATCGCTGTGTCCTTGTGCGGATCCAACACAACGAATGCACCGATATATAACGACCTTTACCAGAATAAGTTCCAAACTAACGCTGAATAAATGTTCATGGGTCATCGTGAATGCATCAAGTGGATGCATTGGACTCCTAGCTCAAGGTGAGGTGCTCCAGCCAGTTAAAAGACAAAAAACGACACAGAAAGGTGGCACCGTTCACATTTCTTCTCAAGTTCAAAAGCAGCCCGTGCAAAAGCCCTCTATCCAAAGGCAGCATCCCAAAGTGAGAGGCACAACCAGGAGGCACCTTCATCCTCTGGAGCACGCTTCAGTCTAGACTCATTCTGCAGACGTGACAAAGACCGCTGCCAATTCTAAAAGCGGGCTGGAACCCAGTGCCCATCTCACCAGGAAAGTTCATGTATTTTGGGAGAGCACCATATGTCACTGTGGGCAAGCTCCTCTTGGGTTCCAAACGTCAATGGAGGCGTTGTAGAGCTTCTCACTGTCCTAAAACTCTCATTTCCTAGTTCTCTACTATTGCTTCTTCTTCTGATGCGCAGACATTCTTCTGTCTCTGCTTCCTGTGTTGATTCTGTACCATCCTCTGCACACAGTTTCTCCAATCTCCGCTCCTGTCTGCCACACTGTCCTCCCCTCTGCCTCCCCTCTGCTACTCACCCCCTGCCTCCTACAGCCTCACATCCCCTGACCCGGTCTGTCCTTACCTCTCTCTACCATTTGCTTTTGCACTCCACTCCTCCAGCTCCTTCCTATGCCACTCAGACTTTCATTATGCAAAAGAAAAAAAAAACTGAAGTCTACTGATGCAGAGAGAATGAGACCCGAGAGAAGGCACACACAAATATTTTTTTTAAATCATTCTTAAAGGGCCAGCATGCCCCTTCTGATTGGGGGAGCTGGTGATCTGAGGAGCAGCACACACCCATCCAGTGTAGAATAATTGCCCTCATCACATTCTAGAGCAGTGCCTGCCTTCTCCTCGTCTGTGACGACTGCTGAAATGTCAGTTGTAAAGCTTGGCGTTGCATAATGTCAGAGAGTCTTCAGCTGGCTGAGCTGTGTGTCATTAAGCGAAGATGATGGCCAAATAACAGCTATTATGCCTGAAAATGTTTACAAATAGCAAGGGAGATTGAATGCAAATGAAATTTCCATGTCTGTCCTTCCTTCTGTATGATCTGACAGTGCAGCTCATGTTTTCTGGATTTAAAGGGAAACTCTGCCTTTAAGCTTTTTTAAAGAGCATGTGTGCTCATACCTATGATCAGTGAACATTAGGAACGTTATTTCATGTTAATGCAAATCGCAAAACAGTGGGGGGTTGTATCAAAACTGCAGCAGAATTTGGAGCAATTGCCCATAGCAACCAATCAGCTTCTATCTTCAGTTTGTTCAGTCAAGCTTAGAAAATAAAAGATAAAAGTTGATTGGTTGCCATGCACAGCTGCTCCAGTTTTGATAGATTCCCCCCATAAATCTAATACAAAGCCTGCAGATATACTCAAGAGTTTCAGATGTTGTTTTGAGCAAAAAATACAATGTGAAAGGAGTGTGATCTCCATGACTTTAGATGGAAAGATTGTCATTGCCAGATGTGCTGGTTGCAGTAGCTCAAACCTTTACATACATAGTGCATAGTACATAGCATTATGTATGTATAGGTTTGAGATGCTCCAACAAGTACATCTACTCATGAGCTTCAGATGTTGTTTTGAGCAAAAAATACAATGTGAAAGGAGTGTGATCTCTATGACTTTGGTTTTAATGATTGTCATTGCCAGATGTGCTGGTTGCAGCAGCTCAAACCTATGACCTGTAGAATTTTCACAGTCTACAGTTAGCAGGGATTGGCACTTAGAAAGACCCAGAGAGACACACATTGGTAACTAGAGAGGTGAGAGCAGAATTCCACATTTGTTCCAGATGACAGAAGGGCTACGACTGCTCACAATGCCAATCTTTTCACAGCAGAATGGCATCTGTAAATGCATATGTTGAACTTTGAAGAGGGGCTACATCAGCAGAAGCGCATGAGGGGTTCCTTTCCTGTCAGCTGAGAATGCGAAAATGAGGCAATAGGATCACAATGATCAAAAATGGATTAATAAAGCCAAATTCCTGTTTTTGTTTTTAATGTAAAATGAATTGGACAGCTCAACAAAAGATGCTCACTGCAATACTCATCCTATCTCTGGGGCTGTCCCCAGCAGGTTCGCAGGGCAGAGATCCAGTGCTAGTCCTCTTCTAGGTTACAAGAGAAGTATAGTCAAATCTCATGTTTTGTCTGTTCTACTTTGGGGTCACAGAATTACTAATGTCCTTCTGTGATTCAGTCAGCTGATAGCAGGCAACAGTCCACTATCAGCTGACTTGGCAGAGCAGCGCCATGTTCTGCAAGGATCCCAACAATATTGTTGGTATCTAGTGATGGAGCTAGGTTTGGTATGAAGCCAGTTCACGTAAGTTCACCTAAGCCCTCTCAAAACTCCAACCACCACCCCTTCCTCCCATCCCAATCAGTGTTAGAAGTTGTGACTGGGGCATTCCCCACAACTGGTTGGATCGGGTTGGAGGGGGGTTAGAGTTTTGAGGCAGCTTCAGCGAACTGGGTTTGCACCAAGCCCAGCCTCGTTACTGTTGGTATTCACTTGGCCACATGATTAACAACTGACTCCACCTTTTATTATGTGGCTGAGAGGCAGAGCAAGCAAGCCATGCTTGCCTCCTCCGCAGCCTATCGCTGGAGTGCTGGAGGAGCAGAATAGGGCTTAGTGACTGATAGGAGACCGAGAGCTGACTGATCAGTGATCATGTGATCTGTCAGCTCTTGGTCTTAGAACCAGCATGGGACAGACGCAGTGTCACACAAATGCTGTGCATGGATTTGGGTAGCTATGTTTGTCTCTTTAACCCCGTAATTCTCCTTTAAATGATGCGCAGTGTCACTTTCTATGAGTCCAGGGTGTCAAGGGCCCACCCACTGAGGGGGTGGATCATCAAGCCACCCTAGATCCACAGGAGAATGCTGCAGGGAACAACACTGAGGGAAGAAGAAAAGAAGGAAGTGGACCTATGACATCAGATGAGCAGACTGAAAACCCATAGATAAAATATATGTTTCCAGTGTTTTTTTCTTTTAATGCTGGGTGCTCTGAGGAAAGGGGGGAGGGGTTCCAATTAGCTGGAATTGCGCTTTAAAGATTAGAATAGTATTGTCAACAGAAAAACACAACTTTCTGCCGTGGCATGCAGATGGCAGGGTCAGGATTTGGCATACACAGCATGAATGCATTGGGATGAGTTGGAACAGGTGGTTCACAGCATGAATGTGTGGCCAACAAATTTGCAGGAACTGCGTGATGCTATTAACTAAGCAGATCCCCCAGAAACAATTCCAGAAATCTGCTGAATTCATGCCAGAAGGAAGTCAATCAATTCTAAAAGCAAAGAAGGGTCTTATCCTATAAGTTAGGTGTACCTAATAACGTGGCCGCTGTGTGTATATCTTTGAGATACCTTTTTTCTTAAATCCCAAACTCCGTGAGGATCCCTGTGATAAGGTTTGCTGTCAGCACATCCAGGAAAAACCGCCGCTGTACCTGCGGACATCTCCAGCACCGCAGAGAACAGATTTCCCTTCTACTGAGCCATAACGCGGGAAGGACCGAGTCCACATTCAAGGCAGGACCGAGGACCAAACTGTTGTTAATCTAACAAACCCTTTTACTCAATACAGTCTGGTGAGTACCCATCTATAAGGGGGTCGTCGGATTGAATTGAAATAGATCAATTATTGTTTGCTTTGTTTCTGCCTTTTAAATATCATCCACTGAACATTTTTTGCCTACCTGATATTCTCATTGCAAGACTGCCATTCTTCAGCTTGAAGATTTCCTTAAACTGTCGATCATTTTTTGAGTGGCTGTCACGATCTTCTTGTTTTTGCACATTAATGTTTGCTGATTTGACTTTAACCACTCTGGATTGCTGATTGTGGTTTGGCACTTAGTAGTTACTACGATCTCTGTTACA